GCACTGAATATGTGTGTGGGGGTATGTGTACAAATATACGGAAAAAATAATTCTTTAACAAAATGTACCTTTCCAATGTATTTTTACTTTTTTGTATCTCATTGTCTTCTCTGTGGAACTCAAATGCAATACTGCTGAAGTTAAATGAGCTTATGCAACCCTAATATGTGAAATAAGGTAAACTTGCTTGGAGCTGACTGACTGAATTTAGTTTAATTCATTGTACACTAAATATATTGACTTGGAAAATGAATGTGCTTTGTGCCTCGTTAATGCCACTGCAAACTTTAAGTGGTTTGCAGAGCTGTATTTTGTTAACAATATCCTGCATTATATCCTATTGTAATTTTGAACAAGAAGCTTAAGCCCTTGTATCAGGCAGGGTGTAATAATGCCTGGTCTATACGTGATCTGCAGTCTATTTCAAGTGAACTCATTTGGGATCTAACCCAAAGTATTAAGGTCCTTCAGGTCTTTTCAAAAGACTTCAGAACTGAGCCCAGTCAGCACCATGTAATTCCAAGCCCTGGCTAAGGAACCAGTCAGAGTGTTTCATTTTGATTCATTGAACTAGAAGGCCTTTCTTCCTGTTACTTTCTTCCTGAAGTAACAAGTCATTCCTATTTCTGTCCAGTGGGTACCACTGTCATATTGATTCCTTATGTGCGCTTATAATGACCTCATTTTCTCCCGCTTCCAGATTTGCCCTTGACCATTGACAATATCTGTCACTCACCTGTTGCAGTCAGTGCAACTGTTAGGTGCACAGTCATTGTGTGAGCTTGCGTGGTACTTCACACACTTTTTAAATATGCCATTTATATGAGGAGAGAAGCAGCCACAGACGTGAGAAGGGCATATCCAAATATTGCTAGGATGGCCTGAACCCCAAACTCTGCAGCTCAACAAAAGGGAAAGCTGAGGGAACTTTTTATATGACTACACGCCAAGCAATCTAGGACCGGAATTTGGTTTGTACTTCTGGAATGAACTGAACTAAAACCCTGCAGCCATCTTTTCTCTGGTATTTGAAAGGTTTTGAGAACGTAAACCTTAAGGTGGAGTTTATGCTGTTTCTAGGAGATAATTTGCAGATGAACTATGAAACATTTTTCCTAGATGACATTTTCCTAGATGACAACAAAGAGAAGCTTTCCCAATGCTGATATACAACCTTATGGTTTCCTTATCAGTGATATTTGTTTTGTTGTGAGGTTTAGAAGTGTACATCTGTTAGGAAATTAACCAAAGAGTTGCTAGTGTGACTACTAAAGATACTGCCAAGCAGAATACCAAAAATGAGTGCAGGGAGTCAGAAATAATTGTGCTTATCCTCCTAGACATTCTTGCTTTGCTGCTTCACTGAAATATTCTTTGGCTTAGCAAACTACTATATAGTGCTGGGTCATAACACATTCTTCAGCCAAAAGTATTTCTTCTGCCAGTGAAAGAACCCTGTCCCTTTTACTTCTCTTGTCTCCACAGAAAGCCAAGCTGTAAAAGTCTGGTATAGAGAGATTCCAATGATCTAATTTTCTCTCCTTCCCTATTTCAATTTGTTGTATGTAAACCTGGTGAACAGGGGAAAAGAAGTGACAGAATTGTTTTAGGAATCATTTCCCTTGCATCTTGCCAGCATACATTAGTTTTTGATGATTTTCATGGTTGTAGGAACTTCTCTGTGGCTTCATATCATTTCCACTAAAATTAAAATTTCATTCATTAAATTAAAACAAATTACACTTCTGTTAGTATACCTGGACTAAAAAGAAATCACTATTGATCTCTATATGAGAGTGTGTTCACTGTTATAGACTACTGAGGGTACAGTAGTCCAGTATGTCACAGCATCATTTCATGTGCCAGTTCCACTGATAATCTGTTTCCAAGCTAGTGGACATTGTACAATGCCTTAAAATTTATAAAATAAATCAAACTAAAGCATAAAGACACAGTTCTTCCATCACACTTCAGATACATTTCTAATTTTATTACAAAACTACCTAAAATGTGAATTACCTGGACTGTAATATTACTAATGAGACACAGAATCACAATCACAATTGCTAACGCTGTGGTAATTGGAGAAGCAGATAAAAGGCAATTTGGAAGGGCCATCTAAAGTTATACTGGTACTTTAATTTAGAATGTTACAAACAGCTAAATCTCCATTGCTCCCCTTTATTATGAGGTAGCCCATTCAAAACCTATCTCATCTGATCCTCATATATATCTTCTACATTGTATGCTACATCCCTAAGAGGGCCTTAGGTGCTCTGTTTTTTACATCACAATCCAAATCTAAGTAATGGAAAAATACTATGCTTTCCAATCAAGATACCTGCTCACACCAATATAAGATGGTTAAGCTGTTATCTACTTGATTTCAGACAAATATTTTGGGTTCCGTATAGATAAATCTTCTGAAAAATTCATATTGAAAAAATTAACTTTTGAGAAGCAGTTGACATTCTTTCAGCCTTTGTTAACAATTTTCTTTCTAAATGATTAGGTGCCTGAGTTACTGCCAGTAGACATTTTGTATACGACAAATGTTGCAGTCATAATTTTTAAGCTTGACTATTTCCTTTTTGTTTTTACTAGGAAGCCCATCTGGACATGCCATGGGATCTTCCTGTGTCTGGTATGTAATGGTCACAGCAGCGCTTAGCTACACAGTTAGATGGAAAGATAAATCAGCAGTTACCCTTCACAGGTCAGTGTCTTTCCATTATTCTAACTCATACAGATACTTTATACACATGCTGTGTTTTTAATGGACTTATTTTAACCAAATTTTCATAGTCTGTTTTGTCCAGTTTGTAAAAAAAAAAAAAAACCAAACCTTTACTATGATCTACTTCAACTGAAGAAAAAGAATATTAAGAGGATTTACCATTTCTATAGGTTGGTATTCATTAATTTATAGTCATTACAAACAATATCTCTGAATCAGCTCCTATTGTCACATCACATGTCATGTCACATCTTCAGCGTTGGAAATTTCGAATTCTATTAATTGTCTTTACATGTTGGATCTTTTGGTTAATCCATAAATTTACTGCTTTGATGGTAGTCCTTCATACCACATTTTAAACTAAATGCGCATAATGTTGGCAAAGTTCAGTGTAACGTTACTCAGCTCTGTGGGGAAGTCTTACAATTGCTTTGATGGCTGTTCTTTCTAAGCCTGACAAGGTTGTTCTTCTATGTGAATTTTGTCACCAAATAGTTGAACTTTTGCATTTAAGTATGACTTCATGACGAAAAATATGTTCAAGGTACTAGTGCTAATTTTACTTGCCATTGATGACTTTCATCACTAAAACCACAGTGGTGTCTTGGACCTGAAACTACTGGGGTCTGTTCCTGCAGCCCTAGATGTGGCTGCAAGAGCAACCACTCTTGCTAATTGGGCCAAGTGCTGGGTCCTGCACTTGGGTCACAACAACCCC